GTCAAATGCCTTTGCACAGTCAATAAAGCACATGTAAACATTTTTCAAGGAGCTCTGGTAGCATAGTGGTTACGAATCGGGCTGCTAACCTCAAGGTTAGCAGTTTGAAACTACCAACTCTTCCACAGAAGATGAGGCTTTCTGCTCCCATAAAAATTTACAGTTTCAGAAACCCTGTACATGGTTGCTATGAGTTGGAACTGACTCCACGGCACACCACCACCAAACATCTTTCAGTATTCTCTGCTTTCAGGCAATTTCTATTTGATGCCAGCAATGATATCCCTTGTTTTATGACCTTTTCTGAATCTGACCTGAATTTCTGGCAGATTCCTGTCAATGTACTGAAGGAACCATTTTAAAATTATCTTTTGTAAAAGTTTACTTGCATGTAATATTAACAATACTGTTCAATGAGGTTTGCATTCTGTTGATTCACCTTTCTTTGGAATGGGCACAGATATGAATCTCTTCAATCCCATTGGCCAGGTCTTCCAAATTTCTCAGAATGGACAAATGAGTGCCTTCAGTGCTGCATCATTTTGTTGAAAAGTTTCAATTTGTACTTTGTCAGTTTCTGGAACAGTGAATTTTTTGTCAATGCCTTCAGTGCAGCTAGGATTTCTTTTAATAACATCAGTTCTTGATCATATGCTACTTCTTGAAATAGTTGAGCATCAACCAATTCTTTTTCCACTGTGACTCGATGTATTTTCTCTCTCTTCTTTTGATGCTTTCTGCATCAATTAGTGTTTTGGTCATACAATCTAATATTGCAACTCAAGGTCGGAAATTTTTCTTCAGTTCTTTCAGCTTGAGAAATACTGAGCATTTCTTCAGTTCTTTCATTTCAAGGAACTGAGCATGTTCCTTCCTTTTTGTTTTCTAACTCCAGGTCTTGCACATTTCCTTAGAATACTTTGTCTTCCTGAGTTACCGTTTGTAATTTTCTGTTCAGCTCTTTTACTTCCTCATTTCTTCCAGTTGCTTTAGCTTCTATGCACTCAAGAGTACGTTTCATAGTCTCTTCTGACAACCAGTTTGAAGTGCCTTTTATTTCTTTTCTGTCTTTTTAATGACCTTTTGCTTTCTTTATGGATGATGCTCTTGATGTCAGTCCACAACTTTTCTGGTTTTCAGTCATTAGTATCCAGTGCATCAAATCTGTTTTGAGATGGTCTCTAAATTCATGTGGGATATACACAAGGTCATGTTTTGACTCTTGTGAACTTGTTTTAATTTTGTTCAGCCTCAACCCAAACTTGCAAATGAGCCATTGATTATCTGTTCCAGAATCAGCCCCTAGTCTTGTTTTGGCTGATGATATTGAGCTTCTCCATTGTTTCTTCTCACAGATGCAGTCAATTTGATTAATGTGTATGGTGAGATCCACATGTGTAGTTACTATTTATGTTGTTTGAAACAGGCATTATCTTGCAAAATTCTATGATGTAATCACCAGTATTGATTCTATTATCAAGGCCATATTCCAACTACTGATCCTTCATCTTTATTTCCAGCTTTCGTATTCCAATCACAGTAATTATCA